ATAAAGAAATACAAAGAAAATGTCAAGCTGGACTAGAAAACCTCCAAGCTCCCACAATGGCGAATCTATGGCACACGTGCCAGAGTTGGAACATAGAGCCCTCTCTGCTGGCACGCATGCCATTGCCCTAGGTCAGATCTCTCTCATTTCTTTCATGAGCTTCTGTTTCCCTGCAAACAACGAGACAGAAGCTCACAAAAGAAAAAGATCTTACTTCTTGTTGCACTGCCAGTGTTGGGATGCCCCACCTCCCGCCAACCAGCTGGTCTTTGGGTCTCTGGTGCGCATGTGTGCATGTCCATTCATGTGTACATTCACGCACAGACACACCTTTCCGTTTGGGCATGCGCATGTGCGCAGTTTGGGCACTCAGTGTCTAAAAGGTTCGCCATTACTGGTCTATTCTATTCTATTCCATTCCACTCCACTCCACTCTATTCTCCAAAATAGATCCTTATTTTAACTGGTTCACCTTCTACTTTGGTGTAGGGTTTCCATTTATAGTACCATCCACGGAAAGGTTTGCTATTATACTCAGCACATTGCTGGGCTCGGAAGTCTGGACTGTTTGATGCACAGAGCTGAGTGTTGCAAAGCTGATAAATGCGACTTGAGCCTTGGCAAAACTTGCCACCATGCTGAGGTCTGTAAAAGAAAAAGAAAATCCATTTGCAATAACAAATATGGAATAAATAATTAACTGCTGGATGCATTAGCATCATACCAGTTTCTATTATTTAATATAAATTTAAAAAGTAAAAAAAAAAACCAAATAATTTAAATCTATGGTGACCTGCATGAAATTGCAGGTTTTGTTTCATTTGTCTAAACAATAAATCTAGTATAGTTTAAGTTCAGAAAAAAACAACCCAAGAACAATCTGCTATTCAATACCTGATTGCTTGCTGAATAAAATTGCTGATCAACCAGAAAAATTCTCATGTATTAGGCATGTATACATAGGGCTAATTTATCTTATCTTCTGTGTCTGCGATACAAAGGGACCATTGAATGCATGCAAGCATATGAATCAAATCAAAATTTGCTAAACCAGTCTCAGATCTCTCAATCACTCTCTTCTTTCCTTTCCTTTCCTTCCCTTCCCTTTTAACTTAAAAGTATCACTGGGTGGGAGGTCTCCTTTTGACCTGGGCTTAAATTGAGGTCCTGGCCTATCATGTCTTCCATCAAAAATTCGCCAAAGCTGCCTTGCTAGGCAGAACCTCCTATCTTTGACCTGTTGTGGAAAAACTATGCTTTTTTAAACTGGGATATAATTTAGCTCAGCCGGAGAAACAGTTCCTAGCATCTTTCACAATTCCAGAGTCATCCTGTAGCAATATCTGGAATATGGCTGTTGTGGCTCGCCAGCGGCCAGCAGAGCTAGTAGCAGATTCAGACAGTGAGGAAGTTGGGGAGGAACATGGGCCAGTCCTGGAGTCTGTGGAAGGCTCTGATGAGGGCTCTGCGTT